GAACCACCATAACACGGTGCCCCCCACTCCCAACCCCTCCAATCGTTGCAGCATGATACCATGGTCAATGGTATCAAAAGCTGCTGAGAGATCTAATAGGACCAGGACAGAGGAACAACCCCTGTCCCGAGCCCTCCAGAGATCATCAGCCAATGCAACCAATGACGTTTCCATGCTATACCCAGGCCTGAAGATCCACTGGAATGGATCTAGATAATCGGCTTCATCCAGGTACTGGGAAAGTTGTCGCGCCACCACACTCTCAACAACCTTCGCAACGAAGCGAAGCTTGGAGACTGGACGATAATTCGCTAATACAGCTGGGTCCAGGGAAGGCTTTTTGAGGAGAGGCCTCACCACCACCTTTTTTTTATTATTATTGAAAAGTTTTATAAGAAATACAAGCATTTTCTCCCCCCCACCCTTTCCCCCTCCCCTCCTTCCCCCCCACCCCCCTCCCTAGACTTCCCAGAACAAGCACAGGGTATAGCATTCACAAACATAAAGCTAAAATATGCTAACAAATTATTGCATTCATATTCTCCCTAATTTTTAACTCCTTATAACTCAAAAACTATAAACATAAACTACTTAAAAATATTTCATTCATAAGCTATATGAATCTTATTGTTCGGATACATTTTTTGCATATAGTCAATCCATCTTCTCCATTCTGATATGTATCTTTCATTCAAATGATCTTTAAGATATGATGAAATTTTTGCCATCTCTGCCAGATGCACAACTTTTAAAGTCCATTCCTCAATGATAGGTGGATCTTCCTTCTTCCAGTACTATGCCACCAGTAATCTGACAGCTGTTATTAAATTCAAAACCAACTTGGTCTCTATTTCAGTACAGTCCGTGACTATTCCCAACAAAAAAAAAACTGTGGCGTAAATTTAATTTTTTTCCTTAAAATATTTTGAATAATCCACCATATTTTTATTCAAAAAGCCTTAATTTTTTTACATGTCCACCATATATGAAAATATGTAGCATCTTCACATTCACATCGCCAACACTTGGGTTGTAAATTTGGATACATACAGGCTAATTTTTTTGGGTCTAGATGCCATCTATAAAACATTTTGTAAAAGTTCTCTCTTAAATTTTGAGCTTGTGTGAATCTTACATTTCTAACCCATATCTTTTCCCATGTATCCAATATTATTGGTTCACCTATATTTTGTGCCCATTTTATCATACAATCCTTGACTAACTCTGTTTCCGAATCTATTTCCACTAATACATTATACAACCTTTTAATATGCATTTGACCTTTATCTCTTATTTGCTTTATCAAATTTTCATCCTGCTGCAAAATACCAATTTTTTGATCCTCTCTCCATCTGGCCTGCAGCTGACCATATTGAAACCAAGTCTTAATAATTCCTTCTTCTCTTAATTGCTCCATAGATTTTAATTGTAATCTAACTCCTTCCACCACCTTTTTTAAAGAGGGGGGTAAGAGACTCTCACTCAAAGAAGCATTAATAATCCCCTGGAGCCAGCCTCGTGTAACCGCCCGGGAGGCCAGCACCAACCAGGAGGGACACGGGTCCAATAAACATGTGGCATGTTTGTCATGGTCTGAGTGATCAGACCATGACAAGGGTTCGATGACTAAATCCCCTATTTCCAGATCACTCTGCCACTGACCAGAGACAAAAATCAGATCCAGAGTGTGTCCCCCCATGTGAGTAGGGCCTTGAACTAACTGGGTCAGGTCCAAGGCCGTCATGGAAGCTTTGAATTCCCGAGCTGCCATAGACATTTCGCCGACAGATGGCAGGTTGAAATCCCCCATAACCATAAGCCTGGGGGTATCAACCGCCACCCTGGCTATCACATCACGCAGTTTGGGCAGGGCTGCTGCCACGGAGCAGGGAGCCAAGTACGTAATCAGCAGGCCCATCTGCACCCCATGACCCCACTTCACAAGGAGGGACTCACATCCAGCTATCTGAGGTACAGCCTCCCTCAGACATAGACTTTCTTTAATAATAACCGCCACCCCCCAGCCCCTACCCTGGAATGCCTGGAAACCTGGTGGGCACATTTCAATCAGGGGCACCCCCCCTTCCGGACCAGGTCTCCGTGATACCCGCCACATCCGCTCCCCCCTCCTAAATGAGATCGTAAATGAGGGGGGGCTTATTTATCACGGACCTGGCATTGCATAACAACAGCCGATGACCCAGGCCCTGAGGGTTTGTGCTACCTGGGGAACGAGTAAAGCATTGGGGACCGGAGTGCGCAATCGCTCGAAGATAGCAAGTACGCACTCCCGTAACATGATATGGCCCCCTGCTTCCACCATACCTGCCCCTCCCATCCACAGTACAAATCAAGCAGCCCTCATTAGATTTTCATTAGTCACCCACACAGTCCTCCCCATCCTGCCACTTACCTCCCTGCTAGCCTGTTTGTGAGCCACCTTGGATTTGTAACTTCCTGACAGTTACCCCACTGTTGGAAACTGGCAGGAAGTTGTGAGAAAAATTTTGCTTAATGATTTATGATCCTCGCCTAATGCTGGGATTGCCATTGATAACTGATGCATTAACATCACACTTTACAACTACGTTGTTTAGCAATGGAAATTCTGATTACCATCATTAAACAAGGATTACCTGCATATGTACGACAGATCTGACAGTGAACTAAGTAAATATTCTTTGATTTTTATAAAAAAAACCAAATGATTTGATTTTACTGTATGTCATTTTTAGACTCTTGGAGAATGTTGAACTTTTTCCAGTTCATAATTATTACTTTCATAATTCATTACCCCTAAAATGTGAACGTATTGGTTTGTACAGCTGCATGTGCATACAAATGCACATACCTCAAACCTTTAGGATCTCAGTGCAGTTGAGAAATGTAAGGTTGAGAGATTATTTCATATCAGTGCTCTATGTATGTTATCCCCCAGTAGGAAAATCAGAAGAAAATGATGTCAGAATAGCAATTTCATCTACAAGGAACATGCTGCATAATAGACAAAGAAGGGATACAAAATAATCAATTCTTTATCTATTCCTTAATAAGGATTTGTGGCCAGTTGGTTGGTACAGTATACTGGACAAGCAGTATCATTCAATTTAGATCTCAGAAACAGTTTTTTAGACTTTACAGTGTTACCTAGAATGCTGGATCTCCAGATCATGTTCATCTAAGTGGACTGAACATGGTTACATGATTGGTCAAAATTAATTAAGTTAGCTAGCTTATAAAAGTCAGGCAGTTTCTTTTCCATTGCTATTTATTTTTACAAGAATATGCCCATGTATCAACATAGAAATTTTAACATTCTGTTTTGCACATGGATAAAGCTACTTTATATAAAGAAAGGGAAATAAATGCAGACTTTGTCAGACCTATTCTTTTATATTTAAATATTTACTTTTTTTTACTGCACATTAATGGGATATCATAACAGTTCTTTCCAATTTGGCCAGCAAATACAATATATGGGATTTGGAAAGGGGTGGGTGAGTTAAGTGGTTACAACAAGATAAACCATTTTACAAGTGTAAAAATATTAGCTACAATTGTATAGCTTACAGATAATATGATACTTTGGTAAAGTAAAGGGCCCATATTTTCTGCATGACCAACTGACTATTTAATCCTTCCTAGTCAACAGCTGAGAATTTCTGGCAATATCAGTTGTATAAGCTAATTATGTCATTTTTTTTGCCATTGAATGAGTGGGTCTTGTACTTTCCCTTTTTCTTGGTCCCTTAAGAGGACCTCTGTTCATGACAGAGGTTCATGAACAGTTCATCAAGAGTTAACTTGTGGATTTGTATAAATAATTTAGACAGGATACATATCCACGAATAGAAATACTTCACAGAAGTGGTAGATTCTAACATCTGACTAAAAAGGTGTGTCAGTAAAGTCCCTATTAATATTGACTTGAACAAAATCTGAAAACATCAAGTACACTTGCATCCACTTCCAGAGAGCTGTTTGAATGTCTGAGTGCTACTTTTTCAGTAAGTGGGCTATGCTCTTTGCCTCTGTACCAAAAAACAAGTTACTGCTGAAACATAGGGCAAAGGAAGCCCATTACTTCCACACACTGGATGTAAATAAATGTATCCAACTCTACTCAGCTTATGAAATCAATATCTAGACAGGAAGAATTCTATATTATTCAGTACTGTGGTTATTTCACAACTGGAAGTATCTTCATGAGCTGACTTGTCAGACTTTATCTCATAAAATATTGTGCAAACCACTGCTGAGATGTGGAATAAAAAGAATAGCTTGTACTAATAAAATTCTAGGAAATTGTTTCCAGGATTATGTATTGTATCCAGACAGATGCTTCTACTTGTTACATTTGTGGAAGTAACTATCAGCAAAGATTTTCAGCAAAGACAAAATTGAGATAATCTTTGTGGAACCACACACTTTTAATGGCATTTCCAGTACTATTCTGGAATTGATATCATAATGTTTGGACTAGTTTTTCAATAGACTGCAACTGGGAGGAGCAATTTGTGAAAATTTGCAGTATATCCTAACTCTTAACATTAGAATCTTAGTCAAGCCATACTGCCAATGTTCATAGGAATGTTTTTTTTTAAATAATCCCTTTAGTCATCCATTTACTACTTTCTTCGTTTTGAACTTTTATGTTACAAAAATAAAAGAGGACAGTGAAGGTTTGAAGGTCCCGAAATTTGTAGCTCAGTATTAACAAAATATTTCAAGCATAGCTATGAGGTTATGCAGCCTTACAAATAGTAATGGCATTTGAAAGAGAAAAACATCCTTTTCCTACCAATTAGGCTTTCAATTTTATTTCACCAATCTTGAAATGAAAGTTATACATGCTAACATTTGCAGAGACTTTGAACTTTCTTTACATGCATTCTATTTTTAAGGATAGCCCTGAAATTTGGCTTTGCATGGAAACACTGCAAAATTAGAACATTTTCCTCCCTCCTCTTTCCCCAATAAAAAAGAATGGAGCCCAATAATTAGGGCATTTTTTTCTTTTTATTTTGTGTTCTAACAGAACTTTAGTCAAACATTAAGTATGCATTTTGAACATATGACAGATCCTTTACTGTTTCTCAAACAGAGCTGTTTATAGAAAAGGAATGACTTAGGTGGAATGTTTCTCAAACCATTAATGACTTTTTTTCATTTGTTTTGTGTTTTTTCCCCTAACCAATTCTGTCATTCCTTTCTGAATAATATGACAAAGCATTATAAGAAAATCTTTAAGTAGCATGAATATCAAATAGTATCTATTAATCCCTGAATCATGCTATTCAAAGTGCTTCAATCTACTTTAAAAACAGAGAATAAAGTGTTCCTTGTGAGGAAAAAAAAATCAAAGAATACCATCCAGCTAGACTCTACAGTGTGACTATTGTCAGATTGCAATGCTTTACATTACTTCACAAATCAAATGTAAGACTAAAAATTTTAAAGGAAAAGCTGTTGCATCTTTTGTTAGCTATTTGGAATCTTATCAAAAGTGATTAATTCCACTAGTGCCTCGCAGGTGTTTATAGCCAGTAATAACTATTTTAAATCTTCAAAGAATGAACTTTTAAAGAATGTGAATTTTCACATCCTACTTGACAGCATTTTATGCTTAGTGTGTTTATTTGGCCTATGTCCACATTTTTTTCTTTTGTGTGTGTGTGTTGAAGGAAAATAGCAAACTACTAGAAAAGGACTTGAGTGAACAGTCACAGAAATGAATAGTGTTAGTTAAATTATGTCAAAAAAAAATCCTATACATCCTAATTCAGCTTTCAAGTGTTTGCTTGACTATCTACACCATAATACCAGTAATTTTTCGTGTACCAATGGAACCCAAATATCTAGATTTTAGCTTAAAATTAATTGGTAACATCTTATTTGACCCAAAATATAGGCCTTTTTATGATGGCAGTCTAAATAAACACACAACACACCCATTATTTTGGCTATGTCTTATTAACTATGTAGAAAACTCTTTCCTTTTCTTTCCAATGAAGAAAAAGATCTGCAGTTTCACGTGATTGTTGCTGTTAAATTGTTGCATTTTAATGCAACATTAAAATATGCTGTATTCTCCTCTAGCATATTAATTAATATCAGTAATCTACTACATCAGTTTATGTTATAAGAAATATGCTCTATTAGTCTAGTGCTATAGTAATCATATAATCTATTGTTGGCTGCCTTCTTATAGGTGGCTATTACATTGATAGGTGGAAATATGAATAGTAGTGGTCATTCTGCTAACAGTAGGTGAATGAGGAGTTAAATGTGTTAATATTTATGACAAATTCTTATTGAATCCAAATAGGCAAAGTTCAGTCCTTAGATTTATGCATAAAACAATTGCAAAGCCAAAATACATGTTTTTTCTTTAACTCTTTAAAGATGAAATAATACATTTAAAATAAAACTAGTTTATTTTATTCAATAACATTATTTCCAACATTTCACCTTCTGATTTAAATATTAATATTTTATAAAATATTGATGTTTGTTGGTATTTACTTTTTGCAACCTCCTGAGATCTCCTTTAAACAACCTTGGAATTTAAAAAAATGTAGTGTTATTACAAGCTTAAGAAAAGATAATAATGAATAATAAAGAATGCTAAATTCTGAATGTATCAATGAAAAGAAAAGGTGATGATCAAACTTGAATATACATATGTTTCAAACTTGGTTGAAAAAGTATGTTCCATAGTTCTTAAAAGACAGCATTTTATGGAATACAATGTGACAGACCATTTTAGATATTGTCCTTCTATTATAGTTTGGTTTGGAAGCCAGCCAGGAAATCTCTGCAGGATTTAATGCTGCTCTTCAGTGCCTACTGCCTTACTTCCTTGGCAGATGTCAATAATCTCATTTGAAGAATGTAAACAAGAAAAGAAACCATTGATTTCAAGCAAGCAAACAAATCCAACAATTTCCGAGGAAGTGAATGAATTAGAGTTGGCATGTTATTTCTATATAAAATGAATATAAACAACTCATAAAATCAAACAGAAAAATCTATTATTCTTTCTATAGATTCCATAGTGGTTATAGTGGTTATTGTGAAGCAAGTAATACAGGGTTTTTCATTGTTGTTGTTCACAACTATTTACTATGTGAAATATTAGACAATTAGACCATCTTTAATTTCACTCAGTGTGCTGCTTTAAAAAAGTGATGGGAAAAGGGCAGAGTGTAGCAGTGTGATAAAAACATGAAGAAAAGATTATGAAACATTTGTGGGACCTCCCAAGAGCAAGTGATTTCACACTTACCTCAATAGGCACCCATGTGCACACCGCACATGCGCACGCGCACTCGCACACGCACACACACAAACAGACAATGGTGAATTGCTGCAAGCATGACTCTGCGTATTGGCCTAGGCAGACCAAAAAATGGATACTGCTTCTAGATTAAAAACAGTTTTGTCCAAGCTTTCCCCCAAAAATGTTTAAAATGCACACACACGCTCAAATTATACTAATGAAGAAAAAAACAATAACCCTATCTATATAGCACTCTTCATTTCTCTTTTTTTAAAAAAAAATGTAAATATACACATCTTAATGACATATAAAACAAAATCAACATGTGGATGGTAAAGACATGGGTAAAACAGGAAGACTGATGCGACAAAGAAATTTCCAAAACATATGTACAAGACCCTGTTTTTCCTCATATTTCATATATTGTAATGCATGTTTAACAGCAGCAGTCGAGGATGTAGTTCCAGGCACCAGACTGCAGACCTTGCTTCTGATCAAGGGAGCTGACTTCCACCTTGCACCGATGTCACCAAATGACACTGGAAATACTAGTTTCCCGTGGTAAGAGGGGCAGGATTGCACTGTTTGTATGAGCCTCATCAGGATTCTGCTCTTGGTTAGTTTTTGTCTGTGGTCTCTGTCCATTAATAAGTGTCATTGGGATATTGCAATAAGTATGCTGGTTACCTATTGAGGTAAGAGGCAGAGTGCCAGTAGGAGGTACGTCATATTCATAGCTTTGATAATAGTGTTTCTGTCGCATCTGTGAATGGTATGTGTTATGAAAAGTGGAACGCAAATCTGGGTGGGCAGTGGCAAGAGCAGTGGAGGTAGCAGCAGCCATTGAAATTGCTGAGACTGTCTGCAATTCCCCAAAGGGCCCCTGCTCACTAACATCTAAAACCTGCTCATGGGTAATAGGTTCTATCCTCTTAAAAGGCATTTCATACTGTAAACGTTTCCAGAATTTGGAATTCAACTTGTTGCATTTTGGTCCATGCCATTTAATGACAGTTAAAAGTTTGATGGTATGTTTCAGTGCCTCAACTTCCTGGTAGTTCATAATTCCTCGCAATTCACTGCACTCAATGAGGATCACTTTAATTTCTCCTGTAATGAGCATGTTCCTAAGTCTGGTTTCCAATTCAAAGATGCTCCAGCCTCTTCTGACCACATAATTTGGAGTCATGACAATTATCAGTCGCTTGCTTTGGTCTACACATCTTGCCACGTCTTCTATGTAGGCTGATAAGCAAAAGAGCAACACAAGATCAGAAAAAGAAAAAAAACCCCTATACCTGGACTGTGATCTGTAAGCAGATCTTAAATAAGTACTATTAATTTATGTCTTAAAAAGCATTCAATGTAAATTTGGAAAGAAGTATTCACATGTACATCTCTGTTCAGAGGTATTGTTCCTAGGTGAGAACCCATTCAGAATAGGAAGAAAATAGGAAGAGAAATAGCTCCCTCCATACCTATGTATAAAAACTGCTAGCAGAGTTGTCTTTCCCCCCCTTTCCAGGAAGCAAATAGAGAGCAACCTTCTCTGAATGAAGAATATAAGGAACTTTTCCTTTTTATTTCCTGGAAAGGGGAAATCAGTACTTCAGGTAAATTTAATTTTAAAAAAAACACAAGGAAAGAACCACTGTTTCTACAATACATACTGTATTTGTTTTTATAGAATATGTCCTATACAGATTTTTAATTGCATGCAGATGGACCTATTTTTCCACTTTTGGAATATAACTCAGCTTAATGCAATCTAATTTCATCATTTCATCATTCCACTAATATGGCACGTTATATCTGTGCAAACTGCAAAGGCAAAAAGGACATCTTTATTTAACTGGAACTGTTGAAGTCTGTCTGATGTACACTTTCAGTGGGTGGTGTCTATGAGAAAATAAATTTTATCAAGGAAAGGTGAATTTGGTCTAAGTTGTCAATGGAAAAAGATGATTATAAAAAGATTGTCTAATAGCTTTATATTTAAGAGTAAAACAACTGATAAAAATTTGTGATGCTACAGTATATTGCTATTAATCCAAAGACATTTTCTCTTGTGTGCTATACTTTTTGGTAGTCTCCATCGTTTCATTTAAGAGCCACAGTTGTGCATTTCATTTAAGAGTTGCAGTGGCGCAGTGGTTAGAATGCAGTACTGCAGGCTACTTCTGCTGATCACCAGCTGCCAGCAGTTTGGCAGTTCGTGTCTCAGTAGCTCGAGGTTGACTCAGCCTTCCATCCTTCCAAGGTCAGTAAAATGAGGACCCAGATTGTTGGGGGCAATATGCTGACTCTGTAAACCGCTTAGAGACAGCTGTAAAGCACTGTGAAGCGGTATATAAGTCTAAGTGCTATGCTATTTTAGGCTTCAAAGAAGTGTATTTCCACTTAATAAAGAATACAAATTAGGTTAAAGGATACAGATCTATTTATGGGGTGACATTTCAGCTAGCTTTTCATTTCCAGGGCATGTATGTGGTAGTGGCAGGATAGGAAGCCATTTAAACACCATCTCGCACAATTTCTATATACTCTAGAACTATATTTATTTTATTTTATTTTATTTTATTTTATTTTATTTTATTTTATTTTATTTTATTTTATTTTATTTTATTTTATTATCTTATCTTATCTTTATCTTATCTTATCTTATCTTATCTTATCTTATCTTATCTTATCTTATCTTATCTTATTTTATTTACTAGTCATATTTCTATGCTGCCCATTCTCCGAGGACTCTGGGCGGCTTACACCAAAGACAGCCGGTGAGATTTGATCCGCTGATCTGCTGAAGTAGCTGCAGCAGTGGTGGGTTGCTCCTGGTTCGTACCGGTTCGCAAGAACTGGTAGTAAAAAAATTTAATAGTTTGGAGAACCAGTAATAAGATTGGCTGGCCACACCCCCGAACGGGTTCCCGGCCTGGTCGCCGGTCACTTACCCCGCCCACTCCCAATCTATTGCTGCCTCCTGAGTCCCAGCTGATGGCTAGAGGGAAAAAAACTGTTTAAACTCTTGCCATGGGGCTTCAAAGGGCCACCCTACAGCTGATCAGTGTTAAAAGAAAACAAATGAGTAGACTGGTGCCTGCAAAAATAGAAAAAACAGCCCCTTTCAGCTTCAGCATAGGTTAATTAGCACAAGTTGATTAGATCGGCCTCCCGACTCTCAGCTAATTTGCTCTCAGCTGTTTTGCGCAGGGCTCTGTTGCTAGCTGCAAAGAGTGCTGGAGCAGATTTTTTTTTCCCGTAGCTATGCTGAAAAAACAAAACTGAAAGTAAAGCAAGGTCTTTGCTGCAACGTGACAAAATGAGGCAGAGAGAGATTTCTTTTTCCTCACCAAAAAAGGTAGGTGCAAACAATGGAAAATTTAGGGCAAAAGAGGAGAGTTCAAGATTTTAAAACACAAAAGAAAAAAAGCTCTATTTAACTAGGGAATTGTAATAATTGAGATACTATTAATTGTGTATTGTGTTGAAAGCAGAAATGGTTAAATTGTGGTTTGGAAGAATATATGGAGGAAATTATTTGGTTTATTATTACTGGTAAATATAATTAATTGATTTGTAAGAAATTGGATTGCATAGAAATAATTGGAATATTCATGTTCATATTGATTAATATACAAAAATATAGTTATATAACTAATTGATTTATATTAAAATGTTGAATTTGTATTAAACAACTGTAATATTACATAATTAACCAATGTGAGGATGGATATAAAAATAGATGACAATGGGAAGGGGTATAATATAGAATAGAAGGGAAAAATTGAATTTGATTAAGATTAGAGATGAGGATGAAGGATAATATTGCTTTTTTAAAAAAATAGATGAGGAATAAATATGGCAAAAAGGAAATATAGAAATTGTAAATTTAATTGAAATGACTAAACACTGTTTAAACTTGTGAACTGGCCAAATATTTTGTTCAAAGAAAATACATTGTATGTTTGCATGTGTGTTTCTAATTATTGCTATTTATTCATATTTGTTCTCTTTTATTCTTTAAAGTTTAACAATTCATTCTTTATCTTAATATTTTTATATTTGTTTGGGGTTGGCTTTCTTCCCTTTCATCTTTTTTATTGTACAGCAATCTTTCTCCTCAAACCTACCACCTCTCTCTTTTCTTTCCTTCTTACTTTCTCTTCCCGCCCCTCTTCTCCTCCTCTCTACTTTCTCTTCCTTTCTCTTCTCCTCCTCTCTTCCTCCCTCTCTTACCCTCACTCCTACTCTAATTTCCCTTCCCTTCCTTCCTCCCTTCTCCTCCTTCCCTCTCTCTCCTTCCTTCTTCCATCTCTCTTCTCCTTCCTTCATCCCTCTCTATTGCTGTATCCTTTTGTGCATATGGACTACTCAGAGGGCTGAAAAAGTTATTTTTGACTGGTCCTCGCACTTTTGATCAGTCCTCGAACTTACAACTGTCCTCACATTTTATGTTTTTGCCCTATCTTGTCCCCATGGTGAAGAGAAGCAGTTGTGAAATGAGTGACACAGTTGTTAAGAATGCTACAATGGGCATAAATGATGACCAGTCATAAGTGCGAAGACCGGTCAAAAGTGTGAGGACCTGTCAGAAATCACTTTTTTCAGCCCTCTGGGTAGTCCTTTTGTGCATATGGACTACTCAGAGGTCTGAAAAAGTTATTTTTGACTGGTCCTCACACTTTTGACCAGTCCTCGAATTTACGACTGTCCTCACATTTTATGTTTTTTGCCCTATCTTATCACGATGGTAAAGAGAAGCAGTTGTGAAATGAGTGACATGGTTGTTAAGAATGCTGCATGGGCATAAATGTGAGGATGGTCATAAGTGTGAGGACCAGTCAAAAATGCGAGGACCTGTCAGAAATGACTTTTTTCAGCCCCCTGAGTAGTCCCTATACCCATAGCCATGGCCACCCGGTCACATGACCAGCTAGCCACGCCCACCCAGTCACATGACCTCCAAGCCACGCCCACAAAATAAGCCACGCCCACAGAACCGGTAGTAAAAAAATTTAGAACCCATCCCTGAGCTGCAGTACTGCATTCTAACCACTGCACCACCTCGGCTCTTTTTAATCTAATTCTAGACTATATCTAGAATATATAGTCAGTTCTAGAAAACTGACAACTTAGTCTGATTTGTTTCTCCTGTTAGTTTTACTGCTGTTAAAAATATTTGGAAGATTTTATTCTTGTATGTGCAAGAAGATACAAGACAAAATTTTATATAGACACTTTTAGTTAGACTAGACACTTTTTAATTAGGCTATTAAGTTAGCTATGGTATCCAATGAATTTTTTCAAAGAACATTTAATTTTGTTACTGTATATCTTATGTTAATAAAAGCTAGCATATTATACATATAGAGTGCTTACTATTTTTAGTATTAGTACCATTGTAATTATTAATATGCTTTGATTACTTATCTTAATGGAATGTATAATAAACAGCATTAGTACAGTATCGCATTAAAATGTACCTAAACAGCACATTGTGTATGCAAAATGAGTGTATGTGCATATGTGTGTGTGTGTGTGTTTAAAAACTTACTTCCAGTTGGAATTAAATCTCTATCAGGAATGAATAGTTTGTACCCATAATGCTTTTCAAGCATATCTGGTAAGATCTCAAGAGCAAATCGTTCTTCTTCCCCAGTTTCCTGATTCCATTGGTCAGGATCCACTTTGGTATATGACAAATAGGCATCATAATCTTTGTTATCTGTAAATATAAAGGGACAGAGAAGAGAGACAGATGAAAAAGAAAATAGATTTTATTTCATACTGATTTTCCTCTTCCTATTTTATATGTCCATCAGTGGTGGGTTCCTCCCGGTTCGGCCCAGTTCTGCCGAGCCGGTAGCGGTGATGATATGACGTCACCGAACCGGTTCTGCCCCCCCACCCCCTGCCCCCCCACCCCCTCGCCCCCTGGCTCCCACCCCCCCACCTTATTCTTACCTTTTATTTGCCCCCACCCCCAATCTATTGCTGCCTCCTGAGTCCCAGCTGATGGCTAGAGGGAAAAAAACTGTTTAAACTCTTGCCGCGGGGCTTCAAAGGGCCGCCCTACAGCTGATCAGTGTTAAAAGAAAACAAATGAGTAGACCGGTGCCTGCAAAAATACATGAGTAGATCAGTGCCTGCAAAAATACATGAGTAGATCAGTGCCTGCAAAAATACATGAGAAGATCAGTGCTTGCAAAAATACATGAGTAGATCAGTGCCTGCAAAAATACATGAGTAGATCAGTACCTGCAAAAATAAATGGATAGATCGGTACAGCCTGGTAAACCAGTACCTCTGCTAAATCCTAAATAATTGTCACATGACCATCAAGCCACACCCACAAAATAAGCCACGCCCACAGAACCAGTAGTAAAAAAAATTTAGAACCCACCCCTGATGTCCATGTATATTATTCTGAAATATTTCTTATTTATTCTTCATCTTTTCTATTTGATCATATATTACTAAGTAGTTGCTTGTGCTCCATCTTCTCTTTAGTATTTTCATGATTACAAAAGCCATTTTACTAGATTCTCATTTCAAACTGAAAACTAGATTCCTTCTTCATTTCTCTACCTTATGAAATTCTTCATAAGACATTTGCAATATTCATAGCAGCTTCAGCATTTTAATCTTACAAAGATCCTAATGTATGTTATTGCCTTGGGGCTTAAGAAATGCAGTCAAACAGACAATAACAAAAGTGACATGCCCATTATAAACTATGAGAAAAAAGAATTAATTTTCACAATATGCCTTGGAAACGTTCATAGGAGACATTCCAGAAATGTTTTTGTTTTTAAATAATACTGTATTTCCCCACAAATGTTTATAAAATAGAATGGACCTTCGAGGTCTCTTAGTCCAGCCCTCTGCTCAAGCAGGAGATCCTATACCATTTCAGACAAGTGGCTATTCAGTCTTTCTTAAAAACCTCCAGGGATGAAGCACCCACAACTTCTGAAGGCAAGCTGTTCCACTAGTTAATTGTTCTCACTGTTAGGAAGTTTCTCCTTAATTCCAGGTTGCATCTCTCCTAGATTAGTTTCCATCCATTGTTTCTTGTCCCGCCATCCAGTGCTTTGGAAAATAAGTTGACTCCCTCTTCTTTGTGGCAACCCCTCAAATACTGGAATACTGCTATCATGTCACGCCTAGACTTTCTTTTCTCTAAACTACCAAAGCCAAATCCTGCAGCTGTTCTTCAGACGTTTTAGTCTTCAGATCTTTAATCATCTTAGTTGCTCTTCTCTTCACTTTTTTCAAAGTCTCAACATCTTTTTTGTAGTGTGGTGACCAAAACTGAATGCAGTATTCCAAGTGTGGTCTTACTAAGGTTTTATAAAGTTGTATTAATACTTCATGTGATTTTGTTCTAAGCCTCTGTTTATACAATCAAGCAGCTTTTTTGGCTGCTGCCACACACTGCTGGCTTATGTTTAAGTGATCGTTCAGCAGGACTCCAAGGTCCCTCTCACAGTTACTGTTTTTGAGCCAGGTTTCGCCTAATCTGTACTTGTAACTTTGGTTTTTCCTGACTAGGTGTAAAACCTTGCCTTTCTCTACATTAAATTTCATGTGGTTGGATAGGGCCCATTGTTCAAGTCTGTCGAGATATTTATGGATCCTGAGCTTGTCTTCTGGGGTGTTGGCTATTGCTGCTAGCTTAGTGTCATCTGCAAATTTGATGAGTTTCCCTTCTATTCCCTCATCTGAGCTATTTATGAAGATATTGAAGAGTACTGGGGCCTAAGACAGAACCTTGTGGTACCCCATTGCTTCCTTCCTTCATGTAAATGTAGTACCATTAAGGATTACTCATTGAATAAGTTTGTCAGCCAGTTACAAATTCATTTGGTTGTGATGGTGCCAATGTTCTAGTTTATCAAGAAGTAGGTTGTGTTCTACTTTGTCGAATACCTTACTAGGCCACTGCATTTCGCTGGTCTACTAATTTAGTCACTTTGTCAAAGAATGAAATAAGATTGGTTTGACAAGTTCTGTTTTTAAAAAACCTTGCTGGCTTCTAGTTATAACTTTATTTTATTTTTATTCGTCAAGCATGTATTTTAAAACAGATACAAGTGTAAACATAATTATAAATAAGTCGGTAAAATGAGGACCCAGATTATGGGGGCAATAAGCTGACTTTGTATAAATATACAAAAGTATGAAGGCTATTGCTTAACACATTGTAAGCCGTCCTGAGTCTCCGGAGAAAGGCGGCATATAAATCAAATTAAAAAAAAATACACGAAATGGATATGAATAAAAGAAAACATTAGGACAGGGATAGTAGGCATGCTGGTGCGCTTATGCATGGATCTAGATGTTTACATATCTGTTTTTTAATTATCTTTTCCAATTATCTTCCCAGGTATTGATGTTAGGCTGATTGGTCTGTAGTTTCCATGGTCTCTTTTTCCCCTTTTTTGAAATGGGAACCACATTAGCTCTTTTCCACTCCTCAGGTAATTTCACAGTGCTCCAGAATTTTGGAAAGATATGGTGCAATGGTTCTGAAATAACATCTGCCAACTCCTAAAGAACTCTGGGATATAATCCGTCAGGTCCTGGTGATTTACAATATATTCATCAAGATCAAACAGGTGTTCTCTTAGCATTTTCTTGCTTATTTTAATTTTTATTTCTAGTCTGTCTTTGGTGGTATTTTTTTTTTAATTGGTTGGGTTAAATCAGTTCTTCTTTCTTTCTATTGCCTGTTACTTTCTTGCCATCTTCTCTTTTTAATGGAGCTATGTTTCCTTGACTTTTTTCTTCTTATTAATATGTTAAAACTTTTTAAAAATTATCTTTGACCTTTTTTTGCAAGTCTTTATTCATTCTGACCCTTTGCTTTCCTGACTTTATCTTTGCAGCTTCTTGCTATTTGCTGATATTTTGCCTTAGTTATATGTCCCTCTTTCAATTTTTTTCTATTTGTCCTTTTTTTTTCTTTCAGTTTATCAGAGAAATCTTCGTGCGACTGTGCTGATTTCTTCTTGGATTTCTTATTTTTCTTTTTCAGTGGTATTGTGTTAGCCTGGGCTTTTATGATTGCATTTTTCAGAATTCCCCACCCTTCTTGAGTTGTTTCCTCTTTAGGATTTTCATCCATGGAATCTTTCCTAGGGTCTCTCTAAGTTTGTTAAAATCAGATCTTTCAAAGTTTAAGACACTGGTTGGATTATGTTCTATTACTTGTGTTTGTATTATATTGATTTTCAATATGATGTGGTCACTCTCACCCAAAGTTCCAGCAACTTCAATTCTCTCTATCATTTCTTCTCTATAACTAAGAATTAGGTCCAGTATAGCTTTTCCTCTAGTTCCCTCTTCTACTTTTATATGACAAAGTTGTCGGCTAGGTTGGTTAGGAATCTGTTTAATCTCCCACTTGCTGAAGAGTTTGTCTCCTAGTTGATATCAGGGTAGTTAAAGTCTCCCAAAGCTTCTTTGATTTTAATTAATACATTACTTTCAGTACATTCAGTGCATTTGGTGTACTAGCCTGTAATGTTGAATGAAGGCAAACTTCATTACTTTTCATTAAAGGGTCAATAATGCCAAATATTCTGAATCTCAATACTAAATAAAGTCACATTCTGATTTTTGTTGTGAAGAAAGTAGGATAAATCAATGGCAAGAGCAAGGAAGTGTTAACATTCTTTGCTGAGTCAAGGAATGACTCAGTCATTCTGAGTCATTCTTGACATTCTGAGTCAAGGTTGACTCAGCCTTCCATCCTTTCTAAGGTAGGTAAATTGAGGACCCAGTTTGTGGGGGCAATAAGCTGACTTTGTATAAATATACAAAAGTATGAAGGCTATTGCTTAACGCATTGTAAGCCGCTCTGAGTCTCCGGAGAAGGGCGGCATATAAATCAAATTAAAAAAAACAAAAACATTCCTCTAAGTCTCCAGATAGTATATGCAAGTAGGTATTATCAATTGTTCCTCAAAGAAACAGATTGAATATCCCTCTATAAGCAATGTTACACTGTTCAGTGCTTACTAGCAAGATATCTTTTTCTGTCTTCTATGTTACACTTCAGTCACAGCTGTTAAAAATAATGCATGTCAGCTCTAGCAGTGCTTCTGGTTGGCCATTTTACTTGTCCATAAAAAGAAATTCTACAAAATTTTCCTACTGTGTAAAGACTTGCTTTACAGACAAGAGCACAAAATCCACAAATTTTGGGAGGCAAGAATGATAGGAACTGGTAATAAAAAACACTATATGCTTATCTCCAAGTAATAGACATCTCTGAAAGTTTTACACAGTAAATTCCATATTATTTTAAAATACATAATGTTAAATAATAATACAATTTTTGGATTACAACTGCTGTGTAGGATGGTGTTTTTCAAAAACTGTAGTACTAACAGACAATACAATCTTACTGCTAGGCAAAAAATCTTAATGATTTAAAATAATTTTTTCCTTTAAACCTTTGTATTCTATCCTGGATGGTATAGCCCTCTCAAGTCAATTTGTGTGCACAGGCTTTAATGTACAAGCTATTAATTAAACAATACATTAAAACATAAAAAAATAAGTGAGTAATAAGTAAATTTATAATAAACTATAAAATTAGTATTAAAAAACAAAAAAGCATCATAACCAATTAACTATTGACAGCAATGCAAAATAGCAAGCTATTCAAACCCAAATTATTTCCTGGTGAAATGTAGGTTGGCAAAGATTTGTGTATCTTGAACATTGTGAATTCATTAAGATAATTGCCATCAAAACATTTATAAAACCCAGGGATTACTGAATGTTCTTGGAGATTCTTCATTTGGCATGTGCAGTCTCCTTTTGTTTCCTTAATTTTGTCTTTTACCATCCCTTTTGTCTTGGTGCTTGGTAAAATTCACTTTTAGGTGATGAGGGATTTAGATCGCATTGTCATCACTATGTTAATGAGACTCAGCTGGATCTGAATATCTTTTAAATTATTTAAACTAAAACATGTTAAATTGTATTAAACTTCATTTTGCTTCCAAACCCAATTCAAATTATTTTTTTAAATTTTCCTTTAAAATCTATTCATGGCCAATTTTTGATAGGCCATACATGCAGTACGTACACTGAAGTGGCAAGCTTTTTCTGAATTTAGCCCCAACATTTTCATAGTATTTTATACATTTTCCTATTTTCTTTCAGTATTAAAATTAAAAAGTAAAGAGAACTGAAACGTAAGCAATAACTGTGGACTTCTCTCTCCTTTTTTGATGAGAGCTTCCACCTCAAGTTTTTATATCAATGATTCTTCAAATGGAAATGTGATTAATTTCATGGTAACACTTTGGCTTTAGACTTGGATTATGTCATTTGAAAAATCTGCTTTTTATTGCATTAATGTAGTATAGTTTACTGATGAATACAGAACTCTTTTTATTTCTATCCTAGGAAGAAGTATTTACTAACTTCTTAGTAAACAGTTAGTAAACAGTATTTACTAACTGATGAGGACTTATAAGTCCGAAATAGATCTATCTTAGTCTCCTTAGTCTCCCAATGGACAGCAGAGTGTTTGCTGGCTGCCAGAAAAAAAAGCCTAGAAACTAGTGGATTGTGATTTCACTGAACTAGGGCTGCATAAAAATCTTGGTTTACATAGAACCTGGCTAAAGAGAAATACATAAAGCCTACGAAAAGGAAAGAAAACATATACTGTACCTTTACAGAGAGAATACATGGGATGAGGGTGTGGCTAACTGATGAGGACTTATAAATCTGAAATAGATCTATCTTAGTCTCCTTAGTCTCCTTAGTCTCCCAATGGGCAGCAGAGTGTTTACTGGCTGCCAGAAAAGGGGGAAAAAAGCCTAGAAACTAGTGGATTGTGATTTCACTGAACTAGGGCTGCATAAAAATCTGGTTTACGTAGGAAGAACCTGGCTAAAGAGAAATGCACATAAAGTCTATGAAAAGGAAAGAAAATACACACACACACACACACACACACACCGTAGGTCTTTGGTTATTCGGGTTTTGTCCCGCATAAAATTGGACGTGGGACAAAACCCGAATAACCAAAAACCTACATACAAATAGCCGCGAAAACCTCAGAAAACAAACAAATATATATATATATATATATATATATATATATATATATATATATATATATATATATATATATATATATATATATATACTATATATATATATATATATATATATATATATATATATATATATATATATTATATATATATATATATATATATATCAATTTTCTTACTTCTTCGTAGGGTTTATGTGTGTTTTTCTTCTAGCCAGGTTTTCCCTACGTAGCCAAGGTTTTTTTGTAGCTCCAGCTCAGTAGAATCTCATCTACTCGGTTCTGGGCTTTTTTCTTTTCTAACACCTATATATATAACACCTTTTATATATATATAAAAGGTGTATATATTTTTATATATATAAAAATATATACACCTTTTTATATATATATAAAATCTCTTGTCTTTATATTAAATGATCTTTTCTTAAAATTTTGTATAATAAATTCTGTGACAAGCTTTAAAATATTAAATAAAATAATAATAAATAATAAAAATATTAAATATTAAAATATTTTTCCAAATTTTCCATTACATTACAACTTGCAAAATATTACTGATGCATAAAAGATATACTCCACAAATAGTATAACATACCATTTCAAAATGATAACTGTTAGATATTGACAGTTGCATAAGTTTTCTATCTGATCCATTGTTTGAGCAGGAAGAATACTCAAACATGATTGGCTGAGCCCTCTGGCAGCTCCCTATATAAGGACAAACTGTCAGAGAGGCTGGTTGCTGGATTGTACATAGTTGCTGAATAAAGAGCTGTTGTCTGAAGTCTGTCTCCAGTCTCTTTATTCTCCCAATTTAACACTGGTGACAAAGGCGGTATTCAGAGAGGAGAACTGAAACAAA